GAAAATGGTATTCCATGCCGCAACAAACAATCTGGTACCAGATCCGCATCAGAATGTTGCAAGATGCTCATACTGGTATTAAGATGCCAAGTTGCTTCAAGTGACGCCGCCCGCGTTGCTAGCTTTCACTTCTGCCGTTTCGCTCGTGTACTTTCTGGCTGTTCTTGTCTGGTCTTTTGCCCAAAACATCAGCAAATCTTTTTCCCTCCCTTGGAGCAAGGATTGCCTTATTCAAGGTTTTCATAACGGATTCCTCAGCTTTTTCACCAACGTAAGTCCATTCACGCACACATCCCTATTTTGGACTGCGCTACCTACCTTTTTAAGGACTGAAAATGAGCGCCTACCTTGAGCGTAAGATGAGGTTAGGACTTTTACTCCGAAGTGCTCTAAATCCTGATATCTTCAGAGTCCTCGCCCATACGGCAGGTGTGTCATGCTACTGACGATCAGAATGAGACGGTGAGATCACGAAAAGTAAACCATGAGCCTCAGACCACGAAGGAGCTCTCCAAGGAGCTCGAAGATGAGTGTCTTCCATCATCTTCGGGGTGGGGGCATTTTCAAGGAACTGAAAGTCAGTCAGTCCGCAACATGGAGGAAGGGTGAGGGAGCGAAGATTAGAGCGCACTCATGGTAATCTTTTCCACTGACTGATACTGTTCTGAGCAACACTTGGTGGGAAAGGCTGCCATAAATATGCTTTGGTCAACACCCTTTTTCCTCACCCTTCCCCCGCCCCCCTCCGTTTGTCTTAGCTAGAGACTCACGCCACGACGGCTCACCTGGATTATCACCGTTCATTTCAGGCCGATACGAAAATAGTAGCCCTTTTCGATCGAATGGAGGTCACTTTCTGGAGGCGTGCAAGCCGCAGAGCTAAAAGAAGTGCCCTCCTGCTCAGAGAAAAAGCACAACGTCTCGGTGGCATTCTACGTTAGATCTCCCATGCACTTTGTCCCTTTTTGGAACGTAAACAATGACAATGAGGCACGAATCATGCCTAGAGTGTATTTTTTGCTTACGCACCTCCCTCCCCCACCAGAACCCTACACAGTTCACGGAAACACCTTCACAGGTCCTATGTGTTGTTCTGAGTCCTGCATAACATCGCACTTGCTACTTACCTGATAGAAGGCGACCGCTTGCTTGTAGGCATTATACTTGTCGATGTCGCTTGTTGTGATCTGAGCGTTTGACTTGATATTCAGCTCACTCTTGACGACAGGCTCTCCGTACGCTGAAAAGGAGTTATGGTGTCTCCGGAAGAATGGACGTTTCCCTTTTCTCTTATTTTTGTTCACTTACATGAATCGATGTCGGATACCCAGACATCACAGTGCTTGTCGGGAGCGTAGGATGACGATGGGCAGTGGAAGGCATCCTTGAAGGCAGGGAAGTTCTGGAAAAAATAATGATACCGCACTTTCTGGTTTTGCCATGAAAATTAGAGGTGTACCTGGATTGTTCCCCACACCCTGTATTGTGATGGTGAGTGTGGATCCACCAGAATTTGACGCTCAAGTGCGCCTGGACTAGGAGTCGTTTGGCACCAGACCTGGAGGGAATGGTTATGCAGGAGAACGTTTATTTGATAATTTGGCACTGTTCGACTATCACTGTTCCACAAACCAAGAACTTCTTCAGCTGAAACGCTTCCTAGAGATGTTATTCGGTCCCCTGATGACGAATAGAGGTGCTATTTCACGCGACCTCCTTTATCCATGTCCTATGAAAAACTGCACACGGGTTTACAACATGACCAAGAGTATGAGATCCTTCTTTGTCGCCATTTCGAGCCAAATGGCCCCGATTTTACGCGATGACCTTTCCTCCAAAATCGACGGGTTTCATAGCGAGAATGACAGTTATTTTTGACTTCAGCGCTCTGCGGCTCAGCCTGGGAGGGTGAGTGATTTCCTCCTCGCCAGACTAGGCCTCAGCACATGATTAGAATGCCCTACGCTACCAAGAATGAATGTCCCATATTCCTGACCAGGTTGCCAAATAACCCCCGTACAGAAGTTTTCATCGATTTTGGAAATTCGCCCCAAATGGCGCCAGGACCAAAAATGACTATCATATACGTGATAAGGGCAGTAAATAATGTCTGTGGGTAAAGTTTTAGCAAAAGATTCTGTCGAGTTTCTGAAGCAGTAATATTGGATCAGTGCCAGTATTTTCACTTGGCATCAGTCGAATAAGGCCTTCCTAATCCCTCATTTCATTGTAGACACCGATTCGTACAACAGAATTACAGACTTTCCTCCGTGGAAATGCAGGGGTTTCACTGTTTTTTGAACAATGACTTACCTGAGAGAACGCTAGGAAGAACAGCTGATCTGAGGTGAACTCCTGAAGCATATTATCAGGAAGTTGAGGATCGGGCCCATAGAGATTGATGAAATTGCGATACGCGCGGAACGCCGCATGGATTCCTGATAAAATTTAGTTAATCAAGTAATTAAGCTATTAGTTGAGCCGGCTACCTCCGTTGTCGGCGATGTTCTCTCCTTGAGTTCGAGCTCCGTCCAAACAAGCCGCTGAGCCGTACACCGTTTTGTTCAAAGGGCAGAAGTTGTTGTATTCCTGCACCACACAGTCAGCCATCTTCCCAAAAGCGCCTTTCGATTGATCGTCCATCCATCTGAACGAAATTTTGCTGGTGGTCAGGTACCGGAAATTAATTTGACTAAAAGTTGACTAACCCGCTGAGAACTCCAGTGCCGTCCCACTGCACTCCTTCGTCATCAAAGCCATGAGTCAGTTCATGACCTGGAAAACTTGCAATGAACTTTTTTTGCATACGTTTTTCTCTATTCGTACATAGGTCACATTTGGTAGACGCGTAAGTGAGCTTCACTGTTCCCGAAAAACCAGGCCACGAGCCCTCTCGAGAGAGCCAGGAGAAGCTGGGAGAGCTAGAAGAAAATGTTCGGAACTGTTTGAACTACTTAAGATCTTGTGCCATCTGCTACCAAGTGGGAGTGCTACCCCTCCTACCAAAAAGAGTATTCCATTCCATCCCTCCATTTGCTTATGAGCAGTGCATTTTCCCCAGCCTCTGTTTCTCTGACGTTTTGGAGATCGGATGACTTAGGCCGCAATATTCCACATAATCGCTGCTAACCTCACGGGACATTCAAAGCACTCCGTTTCGCAAAAACGGGATTCCGGTAGCGGTGAGGATTTCTATATACCTACGCATGAGGGGCGGAGCAGCTCCTGGGTTGTCGAGCCTATTTAAAGACAGCACTCATGTTTGTGTGACCTTAGCCCCTCTGCACAATGAGACCTTTGATGCCCTATGCAAAGGCTATTGGCGCGATCAAAGCAAACCATTTCAAAGGACAGTCTTCTATTCGGGTGAAGTGAGCCCCATTTGGCAGAAGGGGTCTTTTGAAGCGCGCCCTCTCCTCCAAGGTAATTAGCTCTTCCCCAATTAGAGCGAGTGGTTCATGGGAATCTTGGGTATATTTCTACCAGTCGGCTTCGCCGGCTGACGCCGGCGCGCCTCCTTCTGAGATACAAAACGGCTCCGGCTATTTTATTTATTTTTTCAAAACGGCTATTTTCAACACTATTATGGTGTATGGAATGGTAAAAAGGAGCGTTGATCAAGTGGACAGATGAGAGAAAAGCCGGGTATTAGTCGAGCATTTGATCATACGAATGCAGGTAGGCGCGACCCGCAAAGCCGGGCCGTATCACAGAGGAGGCCTGGAGTGCTCTGGAACCGCTTGAAGAAACCTTGGCCATGCCCACCTCGACGCACGTTCCACCCACAACGGGTATGCCTCACAACTGTGAACCGGTGACCCCTCGATGACCTACTTTTTCCCGGTGTCTGGAGCATTCAGGAACCGTTTCAGGAATTTTTAAAATTGGCCCTGCCCATCTCGCCGCGCGCTCCGCCCACAGCGGATGTGCCTCACACTTGTGAACCGATGACCCCTCGCTGATCTCAAACTACTTTTTCCCGGTGTCTGGAGTGTTCTAAAATCGTTTTAGGATTTTTTTCAATTTGGCTCCGCCCACCTCGCCGCACGCTCCGCCCACAACGTATGCCTCGCGCTTCTCAACCGAAGACCCTCTTAAACTATTTTTCCCGGTGTCTGGAGTGCGAAGCGTTTTACGGATTTTTTCTAACTGGCTCGCCCACTCGGCGCCACGGCTCCGCCCCCCTTAATGCGAGTGCCTCGCAGATTCCTGCATGTGATCAGTCGGGGGCCCATAATCACTTTTTTTGCCATCTGTAGTGCTTTAGGACCAAACTACGGTTTTTTATACTGGTACCTCGTGTTCAAATGCACGCCCCGCCCACTGTGGGCCAGCCTCAGCATGCCGCAAAAATGGTGGACTCTTGCTAGATGTTCGTCTTCGTCATGTACTTTTCTGCGATCTCTAAACATTTTCGGGAACCGAGATACCGATTTTTTTATGAAAGCGCCGCCTATCTCGAGTACGCCCCGCCCACTTTAGGTATGTATCCTCCGTTTGCTCTGACAACCCCATGCTAACCTTATCCCAGTTTTTCCCGTCTCCTGGCTGCTTTGTAGCCAAGTTATAGCTATTTTTCAGTGACATGGGAAGCGCCGCCCATCTCAAGTACGCCCGCCCACCTCAGATGCGTCTCCTTTATTTGGTCGGTCAGCCCTGTGCTAACTTTACTGCGCCGTTCCCACATCTGGGGAATGCCCTGAAACCGAGTTATGGTCTTTTTCGGTGACATCGCTAACTTTTCGATGCACGCCCCGCCCACGTGGGCGGGGCTTACCATGGGTCATGGGGGCTATTTAGGTTTTGTCCCATGCTCTATCCATCCCCACCAGTCCGATCGATCCTTTGCCTCGTTCTTTCAGGTGCTATACAATTTTCTTGACAAACAAAACAGTCGCGCACACAGACAGCACATTACACACCACGCAGGACATAGCCGATTATATTAATATAGTAGGCATAGTAACGACGTGTGACATTTTGTTCGACTCCTGAGCCTGATCATAGAAAACTGGCCCACGATTCAGCAGAACTAGTAGAATGATATTGATCTCATGCTGCTAGAAAGGCCACTACATGAGAGGCCTGAGTGCTACACTCATCGTTGCGGGACATCGCGGAGGGGCGAGGGGGGGAAGCACCCTCCGCCGAGTGCATCGTACTTGGAGCAAAAGTTTTCGACATCCCGATCGAACGCTGATTGGGCCTAACATAAAGGACTAGGGCATTACAAGGGAGTGTGTTCAGGTCATGACGCGCTTTTTGGAAATGGTTTGTTGCTTGTTGTAGGGGTCCATACAAGGGTCACAAAAATGGGTTTCATTTTTGCTATGCGTTTCTGGGTAGGTCAAAAACGGAGTGAAAAGAATTTGACAAGAATGGGCGGTTTTAACAACCTTAATGGGCTCCTTTCTGCTTGTAAACTTCGGCATGCCATAGTTAATAAGATGCGTCACTGAGTGTAAAGGCCCTCCAAAAATAGGTTCGATTAAAGTCAAAATGTAAAGTATCATGTACAGGATAAACACCACTTGGCATGCACGACGCAAAGAGATGATGTCTCTTATCCAGGGCAACAACCACTTTGCGGATCGGATCCTTCTCGCGGAAAATGTTTTGCATTTTTCAGCTTTCCATTCATTCGCGTGCCTGTGTGTCTGGCAGTAGAAATAAGTCAAGTATATGCCATTTGAAGGCATATACTTGTGGCCACATTGTGGCCAGAAAGCGTGCTTGTGCTAGCCCTTCGCTAGTTCATCAGACAGGGTTATTGCGATGAAATACCATCACATTTATTTTATTATTTTGTTCAGCGGGTTGGATTACCCCTGGGGACTAATTTCTAGCCAAGTCTGACGTTTCGACCTTACTTGGAAAATGTGGGCCATTCTATGGACATTTGGCAGCAGGCGGGGTCCACCCACCATGGATGACTGGTCTTGGGATGGATTTTCTACCGGTAATTGATGAGTAAATGATTGCAGGCGACACGAAAACAATTAGGCCAGGGTATTCTTCTTCGCGGAAAGATATAATGAAGGGTCATTTCAGCCTGCAAAGACCAGTCATCACCATGTATTGCTAGTCGCGATATTGGGCTATCATCAGGCGCGACATCATCTACCCATTTTTCTAGAGCTTGCTTGGACCCCCTCGAAACACGCGAACCTATGCACAATTCATTTATTTCGCAGTCGCGGTCATCCAACAACTGCATGACGAAAAAATGTCGTACGATCCGCGCTACAGGTAATCAATGCAAGTTGCATCGAAAGGATTTCAAGATTGTCGATTACGAACATAATGGATTTTGGAAACCGGTAGGCGCCAAAAGAGCTTGTACTTGCGCCGCGCGATATTTCATTGCAATTGCATTTCAACTGTGTGCAGAGATGTGATCTGATAAGAATACTACGACACCGATTTGATTTAACTTAGAACTTCTCTAAGGTGCCGGGGTCAAATTGCGTGGTGCCACTCTTGGACACTGTTAGATAGGCACCACTTATTCATAGTTTCAAGTTATTCTGTTTCAGTTTTCACAAAGAAGGTACACAATTTTACTCATCGGAACATGATATTGAATTCGAAGCCGCCAAGTGTCCGCTCGTCTCGCCTGCCCTGAAAGGGCGCATCGTAACACTGTGGACAACAACATGTGGTTAAAGTTAGAGACAATAGTCGGAAAACTGCAAGGAAAGAACTTGGATTCACGAAGAGTGGCCCTAATGGGAGCTAAGAGCGAGCTCAACTCGGCCACACCACCATAGTAGCCGCCAGACACCAAGGCCCCAGCCCTTCACAACTAGCATCCAAAACTCATGAAATCCGAGAACACCAGCTCCCTGTGCAAATTCACTGCGCCAGCCCACCCGCAAGAAGAAAAACAGCGAAGGAAAACCTATATAAGTCCGCTCAGAGAATCGTTCCGCAAATTTTAAAGGTAGTTTCGAGTTCATTGTGTCAAGACGAGTACAATGATATGCACTCACTGCAAATGGCCAGGCTGTCCTCTATTGGGATGACACTCTTCGTGAGATGGAGCACCACTTTAGGCAAACCAAGGCGGAAAAGATCTCGTGGTGGAGTAACTTCGTGGTGTCCGGGAAAATATATGATGTCTCGTTGCGTTCTGTACACGTATAGTCTTATCGACCAAATTAGTAGTTGATGTGCCGCAATATTGATGGGCATCACCTGAGCACAAGCGAGGTCCACTTCCGCGAGCAGTTGTTCCGTGCCATTAGAGATTACCCATCGCAGATACGAAGTCCGAGATACGGCGCCTATTCCGTAGTAAGCTTCCGGCAGGGAGCATGGTCAGTGAAGGGCAAATGTGCGCTGACAAAAAACACAGATCACTCGTTGCGGTTGGTCATAGACCGAATAGAGTAAGTGCGCTGAAAGGTGTACTTGCAATCGAATGAGCGTTAGCATTGTTGTACTGTCTAATACACGAAGATTCTTTATATTCTTGACGCGAACATGATTACTGGCAATTCCTCAGGAAATTAGGGTGGACAACATCATAAACTATGCATACTCGAGTTACAGGACAGCACGCAAAAGTGTGATGCAACGGAATCGTACAACTGTTAAGTGCTATGGGATATAAGATCACTAGCGACATTACGTGATTCACATATTATTTTCATCTGACGTTTTTGATCTACCAGAAACAGCCATTAGCAAAATGAACCCATTTGACCCTTGTATGGCCCTAGAACAGCCAATAAAACCATCCCAAAAACCGCGCGTCATGTTGGTGGAATGCTGACATAACTGGCTTTTCTCGAAGCTCTCTCG